AAAACCCCAGCCAGCCACATCCAACCAATCACAGTCACGGCAACATCCAAAGTTGCCAGGGTGGAACTCTCAAGAGACTCTGTCTTTGTGTTTGTCCGTGCTTCTTTTACTCGATGACAAAATCAGACTTGACTCCTCTAACGTAACATTGGCCATAAGTTCTGGCAGGCTGACAGAGGCGCCACATACACAAAGTGGGCACGTACGTCACACAATATTTGTACTTGGCACCTAAAGGGTGGAGGCAGCTGATGCTGCAGGAACATACCTCTTTGTTGAAGGGTTAGATCACGCTACAATGATCCAAAAGTCTAGGAGTGCGGCATTACAAAACAGGAAACGTGTATTATTGGAAATATTTAAATGTGTTCATACTTAGCTTAAGGCACAGTAATAGAAATCTGCTCATATATTTGCTGTACTTGCATGTCTGATTTCCCGTAGGCTGATGAATGTCTTTAAGACCTGCCAATCTCCAACAACAGAGGCATGATGGAAAAATATAAAATGCAAAGATACCTGCTCATCAAAGCCGCACGGTGGTCCAGAAAATGGAATCAATAAAAACAGAGGGGAAAGAGCACGTAGCTATATTTTTCACAGCACACATCCTGGAATTCATTTAATATTGCAAATTAAAAATGCGTGGCGTTGCATGATCTGGTATCAAAGCTCCGATTTTTTCTTTTTGGATCGAATCACAGCTACTGTAGCCTTGGCATAAATGAAACACAGCATATCATGTGGTCAGTTTGATGCAGAACGCAGTAGGAATTTCAAAACGTGCAGAGTAGCCATGGAGAATTAACATCAACCTAATTCAACCGAGAATAAAAAATAAAAAAAAAAAATTTAAAAAAACGTTGCAGTAAATGCATCAATAATTTAAGGTTTCTTTTATCTCTCTTTGGATTTTCATGCTGCCACTGCAGTTTGGGTGTGATTTCCTGTTTCCTGTAACGGTGGCTCGTGCGAAGAAACAGCAGATGGGGTTCTTGGAAAAGAAGAAGATTAATAATCTAGCAGGGAGTAAGATTTGCGACAGAGGAGATGGAGAGATGATGTGACACAGGCCAAATTGGCAAGAAAGCCAAGGCAGAAGAGACGAGACTGGAAGACTGTGAGAGAAAACAAACTGTGAAAAGTTTGGAGGACCAGGAGCATGTGGGCAACGACGACGAGGAGCCAGGACGAAGACCAACCTCCACTGACAGTGTGTGCATTAGACGGGGAGGAGACTCTTTGTTGACAACTAATAATAATAATAATAATAATTAAACTGACCGTCAGATATCCACTCGTGATCATTACTCACAGATCAGGTCTTGTTTAGTACTAAGAAAAACAGACCTGGAACCTGGAACCTGCAGATGAGTCTAGAACAGACCTGGGCTTCGGCCAAATCCAAACCTTTATACTGTTCTCTCTCCATCCGGCCCAGGTGAGATTGTTGTCAAATATTTAGTAATTAACTACAGCATCTAATGTAAAAGGTGCCCAAAATAAAAGGGCTTTTATTTTGAAGGCTTCATTTCTAAATTAATGAGCTACCAGGGAGAATGTGTGTAGAGATAATCATCGTCTCGTCACAGTTATAAGAAAGTGACTGTCCTTGTACGGCATCCAGTCAGAGAACGTATTTATTCTCACACCATTAAGTGTTAGAACTCTGGAGACTGTTGCTCATCCTATTATTCTTTGTTGTTGGGTTGTTTTTTTTTTTCATGAGTAAAAATGGAAACTAAAGATTCTTAGCTACGGCTACAGCATTGGTCCAGCAGGTCACATGACCGACTGACGAGACATTCGCATGAATAAGAAGTGTTTCTTAGAAAACACTGGTAAAATATTTAGAAAAAATCCTTTAAAGAGCATTTAAAAAAAATAAAATATGCATAAATAAGATAATTAATTTAATTAATTTAAATTGCTTCAATGCAAATAAGGGTTTAAAAATAATTTTAAAGCATTTCTAAATGTAAAGAAGTCGACTTTAATTTTCTTGCATCTGTTAATTTTGCTCTTTTGATCACCTTTTCTACAAAAACATGGCTAACACAGACGCTAACTGGTGGAATCATTTCCTGCTTGTTTGTGTGCACTTATGTGTGTGTTTGTGTGTGTGTGTGTCTTCACACAACTTTGGGATGAGATGTGAGAGGAAACGGACAGATTTCCATCTGTCTGCTCCATTTGTGACAAAAAAGGAAAAAAAAAAAAAGGAAAAAAAAAATGTCTTCTTCTTGTGATTCAAATATATGCTCTGGCCTCCTCTCTCTCCCTCTCTCTCTCCCTCTCTCCTTCTCTTCCATCTCTCCATCCAAGTGGCATCTGCAGATGACCAGGGCATCAAGAGTCTCATCATAAGGAGGAAGAGAGACCCAGAGAGAGAGAGAGAGAGAGAGGGAGCAAGCGCCTCTCGCTTCACATTTCCCTAGCACCACCCCGGCGTGCCAGCCAGCCTGCAGTCTGTTCTCCTTTGAGCTTTCTATTCTACCACAGAAGAGAAAAAAAAAATCAATTCATATTTCCATAATCCACACTACTGTCTGTCTTCATGTCTTGCCCC